TGTTCCAGACAAAGAGGAGCAGCATAAAGGGGAGAGAGGAAGCTGTCTGTAGTTAAGGAGGGCTGTGGCTCAAAGTCAGAGGGGAAGCAGTGGCCAGAGATTAAGGTGAAGAGGTTTTCCAGGGCAGACAATGAACAGTCTTGCTGAACAGTTTGGCCCCATCTGAGTTTCCTTCTTTTAAAACAAGGATACTAGCAGCTGTCCTGATTACCTTATAAAATTCGCTATCAGGGTCAAATGTACTGACGTATATGAAAATGTTTTTAAGACAGTATTAAATATACCTTATTAGTATCCCATTGCCCATTGCTGTTGAGTCGATTCCAACTCATAGTGACCCTATAGGACAGAGCAGAACTGTCCCATAGGGTTTCCAAGGCTATAAATCTTTATGGAAGCAGACTGCCACATCTTTCTCCTGCAGAGCAGCTGGTGGGTTCAAACCACTGACCTTTTGGTTAGCAATTGAGTGCTTAACCACCGTACCACCAGGGCTCCTCTTATGAGTATAAGGCATTATTATTCTGGAAATATTTAGTATTTAATATTATAAAATCTTTAACCGCTGTATGTCTGCAGCAGCTGATAAAATCAAGACCTCAGATGTAAACTCCAGAGGATGAGGCCTGGATGTGTTTGAAGAAAAGGCACAGGCCTACAGAGAAGCGGTAGTCTACCCTTAAGCAGAGAGAGAATGGTTTAGCTTCATAGTTTGGGAGTCAGTTGAAAAGAATGGATGGTGAGTAAAAAAGCACATGCAAACATATATTAAAGACAAATGTTGAAAAGTCAGCTTTAGGGACCATTCTTGCCTTCCTTTTTCTTTTCCCACCAGATATCTTGAGAAGTCTACACTTCTTCACCCCATGGCTTCATCCCCTTCACATCACCCTTCGTACTCCCCAGTTTATAGGTTACCCCTGCTGTCTTCTCCCATTCCCCTGAAACCCTTCTCATCTTGGCTATCAGTGACCTGCTGATGGTCAATTCCAGGGGACAGTTCTCAGTCTCCATTATATGTGGCCCATCCATGGCACCTGATAGGATTCCCTCCTTTAAACACTCTCTCCCCACCCCTCTGGGTGGAGCTCAGCCTTTGTTATCGTTTGGTCCCTCCATATTTGTGGTGCTCCTCAAGAGTGGCCTTCCATATCTTGTGGCCTCTCCTCAGCTCTTATCACCTGATGCACACTTCCAGGGGGTATCAACTACCACTCTCCCCCAGATGACCCACAACCAAGTCTTTCAAACTCTACTGGCTTTCCTGGACTCTAGATCTGTTCTTCTTAGCCACTGACTTGCCATTTCAGCTTGAAAGACCCACAGGGGCACCTCAGACTCAACCCATTTAAATGAACTCCATTTTTCCGGCCCCAGTAACTCCTCCTATATTTTTCGTCTCCAAGTGGCACAACACCCAAGTCCAAACCCCCGACAATCACTGGACTCTCCCTAAGTGATCTCTCTTGTCCTTCTCCATCTTCACTGCCTCTGCCTTTATTCAAGTTCCCACAAGACTTGCCACAGGCTACTAATGAGTCTCCCAGCCAATACTTGGCTCCCATAAATGTTTCCCTGCTCCCCAGAGGGTTTATTTCATCCCATGGAGATTCCCCCATCTGCCTCACAGTGGTGACACTGATCACACTGGATTGTGAGATCATCTGTGAATGTATCTATCCATTGCAATACATGTCACAAGCTCCCCGAGGTCAAGAACCACATATTACTCACGGTTAGCCTCCAGTGGATGGGCAAATCTAGTCTGAGGCAGCTGCTCAGTAAGTGATCAGTAACTGACTGAATGGAAGACCTCTGGACATAGAGGTTATCTGCAGCTGCTACTGATTATGAACTAACTCTGGGCGGGGTCCCAGCCATCTCCTTAGAAATCTTTGGGTTCTATGTGAGGTAAGAATGCTGGAGGCAGGCAAGGGCATGATGACAGCATTTCCAACAGCATAATCAGCCGAGGGTTGTCTGGGAATGCCAGAGAAATGGCTAACTTGAGTCTGTCACTAGCGAAGTGTGGTGTAAGTGGTAACAGGTTATGAACAGCCCCCTCTCTTGAAGAACAGCAGAGGCGGGGGTCCCTGAGAAGAGAGAAGCAGAGTCAGGGGCTACGTCCTCAGTGGATGCTGAGGAGAGATCCACCGCCACCCCTGATGGGACGAGCATGCAGGGTGTCTGAACGTGTGGGTGTTCTGAAGCAAGCTGAACCTGGTTGTCTGACAGATGTGAGCTTTCCTTCCCCAAAGTCAAACCGAATAAACTCATTACTGCTTTCCTCTTGGCCATTCACTGTTATCATATTTTGTATTATATCTGGCATCTTTTTAACATTCCCATT